CAGGAGTTCCACAAACGATTCCCAGGCAAACCGGGAGGTCTCCCGGAAAAACTCCCGGGCTAGCCGGGAGGGCTCCCGGAAATTCCGGGAGGTGGTGGTTAATGGGTATTTTTGAGGGGGCAGTATGTCAGCTAGCTGCCATTGTCATTCCGGTTCCTGTTCAGTCTTTTTCTTTTCCTCCCCCCCTCGTTCCTTGTTTCCTTGAGTTATGTTTTGTAGTCAGCGGAACTCGCCAAGGTCGTGCAGCTGGTAGTAGGAGGAAAGCTTCGCCTAGAGTGTTTTGGGTATCTAGCCTGTGAACTGAACCTGTGTTGATATTGTAGAACTGTTACGTTCCCATGCAATGGGCGCGAATTGTATGTTCTATTCCCGCCAGCGGGAAATGGGCTCATTGGTCCTGACCTGGTTCAAATGTCTATATTATGCCTTCCCTGGTCACCTGTAGTTATTCCTAACAATGTCCTGTTCTGGTTAAACCAACGCTTTGAAATAAACCTTGCTTTGTGCTTAAACGTGGAGTTATTTTGAATGCTTGGGATCCAACAGAAGGCGGCATAAATTCTAAATAAATAAGTACAATGGGTTCTGCTGCGCAGCTCTTGTCGGTTGGTGTCTGGGTCCCTACGCTGGTCTTCCCCAACTCGACTGACACGCTTGTAAACTAAGCAGCCTGTCCCTTCTGTCATCTTCTTCGGGGAAAGCAAGGCTCGTAAAAGCCATTGCACCAGTGACCTCCTGTAAACCTTATGAGTTCGTGACTTTTGCAGCCTGTGTTCTGCTTCTGAAGCCATAACTTTTTCTTGAGTTGGCATCATTTGTCACTCTTGCTCTAACATAAACTGGGCTCCTGTGCCAGCTTTCCTTCCAGGCAGGGAAAACGTTGTTTGATTTACCTTCTGTCTCTAAATGCAGAGTGCTGTGAAGCACACAGAGGTATTCCTATTAAATGGGCTTTGAAAAGCTGTTGTTGCTGACCACGCACACGAAGGAACCTTCCAGTCTCTCTCTGCAAAACTAGAATGATTTCTCTTCCATGGAAGCACTAAATCAGACTTCTGTTTCCCATATTTGGGAGGGGGAGAAAAGTAGGAAGGACAGACCTGGAACACACCCTACTAATTCATCGTTCTCTTTACCGGCATGATTGTTCTCTTGAGGACTGATGCTTGGAAATGAGAAAGGTGAATTTTTAAAATAGATAAAGGTGTGAATCCCCCCTGTAGTGAGATTCATTTTCTCCAGCTTCGTTGAGGTCTCCAAGCCTGGTTTCTCCTTACTTGGAGCTGCAGGCAAAATGAACCTGTCCTCCTCCTTCTCTACCCTGCCCCGTGAACTAGATCCAGGGGGTACATAAGGACATAAGAAACGCCAATGTTGGATCAGGCCAAAGGCCCATCCAGTCCAACACTCTGGGTCACACAGTGGCCAGAAATACCAGGTGCCCTCAGGAGGTCCACCAGTGGGGCCAGGACATTAGAAGCCCCTCCCACTGTTGACCCCCCCAAGCACCAAGAAGACAGAGCATCACTTGCCCCAGAGCCCCTTGTGTCTAATAAGTTTCCCCCCAGCAGAATGCAGCCCTTCAGTCACACATAGCAGCCCACTAAGGGCGCTATAAAGATGGGGTCTGCTTCAGGTGGGGTGGGTATCAATTAAGGTTGCCAACCTCCAGGTGGGGCCTGGAGATCTCCCATTTTTACAACTGATCCCCAAACAAGATCAGTTCCCCTGAAGAAAACAGCTGTGTTGGAGGGTGGGGTGCATGGTGTTGTACCATGCTGAGGTCTCTCCCCCTCCCCAAACCCTGCCCTCTCCAGGATCCCCCCCCCCCCCCAAATATCCAGGTATTTCTTAACCCCGAGCTGGCAACCCTCAATTGAGAGTCTGGCAGGATTAATAAGGAAATGTCTTCATCAAGCCACTCTGCTTCTGTGTCCTGAACACTCTCTGGCCCTTTCTGCACCCGTATTTTGCTTCGGTTTCTGAGCACATCCTATTCTTCCATTCTGCATTCCCTCCAATTTTCACTTTGTGTCAGGGCTTTCTCTTGTTTCTGCATTTTTTAAAACAGGAATCTGCATTCAGACCACTTCCAGCACACTGTTGCCCCACGGCTACCAAAACTCCTTTTGCCACGATTCTTTGTTTCCATCCACTTTTGAATCGCTAATCCTTTCTCAATTAGAATTGTTTTTGCAGGTATTTAAGTGCTGCCCATTGCCCTCCCTCGTTTCCGCCTCTCTCTCTTTAGGTTGACGTTCCCTCCCTGTTCTATTTTCTTTCCTTCCTTCTCCAAAGACAAAGGAGGATGTGTCCTCCTGCTCAGGCAAACTTTCAAAAAGCCAGAGACAACATAAGAAGGGATCAGTAAATATAAAGGACTAGGGGATTCCCTGCTCCCTATTGTGTCAATCTTGCATGTGGGGGGCCGGGATTCCCCCCTCCCTCCCCTTTCTTTTTGCAGAATCACGAAGGGAGGGAGGGGTTGGCAGCCAGTTAGCTCAAAGAATGCTTGCAGATGCAGAATGCACACAGAATACACAAATAAATAAACCGGCGGGGGAACCAGTACAGAGGGAATGTGTGTGACTGCCAAGTCAACCCTTAAGGCTTGACTCCTCAGATTCTCTGGAGCAAGCGGTCAGATTGTAGAAAGGGCCTCTGTCTCTGCTGAGTAACTTCCTGGTGCTGTTCGCTTGTGCCCATGAGTTATTCCCCCTGTCTGCTTTCCGAGCTCACTCAGTTCCACAAACATTGTTACAGGGTCAGGGTGGGGAGACTGCTGGATCCCTGGCTGGCCACACTGCATTGGGGGGGGGCTTTTCATGCCTGCTCAGTGGTGTTGTTCCTAGTGATAGCCATTTTGGTGGATGATTGAATTGCTGAGACAACTTGGATTTTGCAATAAGAGGTCACAAATATGTCAAGTTTAAATTCACTGAGACTCATACAGGACATGATGGGGCAGCTGTATTTGCTATGCATGTGTCTGCTGTGTTCTCGTATAAAGCGAAGGGGGAGTCTCATTTAAATCCCATTACTTTGGTCCTGAGAAGGAGGTCTGGGCAACAGCAGGCTTTTCAGCGGAAGCATGGTCAAGAGGACCGTTGTTGCCAGAGGCCTTTGCTGCATCTGAGCAGTTCACTTCCTACTGAAAATGTGTTTGTTGCCATCCTGCCAAAAAAAAAAGTGACCTGTCTATATCTATTCATGCTACAAGAATGGTGAATAAAAGAAATGTAATATGCTCTCAGCATTAAATTATTATTCTTTGTCTTGATTCTGAAATCATCTGTGGCAGCAGTCAGACATTAATTTCATGGGCTGGGGAACCCTCACATCCAAAGAGCCTCTCCTTATTGCTCCACCTGGGTCGTCCTCAGTCATTTCCAATGAAGGGAAGACAACACTGACGGTCCTTACAATTGGGAATGCAGAGATTCAGGAAACAGATCAATACTTTATAATTGTCTTGCTTGGTTTGAAGTAATGATTTTTTTATAGAAATAAAGAATGCTAGCAATACGTGTTCGCGTGGATGAATCCCATGTAAGCACCTGTTTATTTAGTTTTGTTTTAACACTTTATAGGAAATCAATGTGATGACAGCACCATTGGTCAACCAAGACAGAGAAAAGAATTCTGAGAAGCGAAGCCAGCCACTAAAATCGGAGAAGGAAGCCCTGTTGATTGGTAAGGGGACTCTGCTCCATTTCGGATGTGGAGAAACGTAACAGTTTTTTACTTGTGGAGAGAAGTGTCTTTTAGGATGCAATGAGGGATGTAATACAGTCGGGACCTCATGATCTGTACACATAGATCTGGAAAGTTACACTGGACATTTTTGTCTCTCCTTTGTTTCTGACAGAGTTTGTAGTTGTTTTTCATTGTAATATGTTTTGGACTAAGATAATTAAATGTACACTAGTATGAGTCAAACTTAACAACTGTATTTGTATGTATATTTACCATTTTGGATCACAACATTGCCAGTGGTGAGTCAGAGGTATTGGTGCTCTGATGAGCTATCTGGAAAGAGTTTTCCATTTCTGCTGTGGAGCTAAACAAAACAGTAATTACACATGGTTATATTGGATACCCTCCTGCCAACCTAGCAGTTTGAAAGCAATTGCAAGTAGATAAATAGGAACCACTACGGTGGGAAGGTAACAGCGTTCCATGCGCCTCAGTGTTAAGTCATGCCGGCCACATGACCATGGAAACATCTTTGGACAGTGCTGGCTCTTCGGCTTGGAAACGGAGATGAGCACCGCATCCCTAGAGTCAGATTCGACTGGCTTTCGAGCAAGGGAAACCTTAACTTTACCTATATTGGATACCAGAGGAAAAGAAAGCTCTGTGGTATTAGTCATGGACATTGGACTTCTAAGGAAGCTGTACCAATACCAGAATAACAAGAGTGTTTTCATGGACAGCTGATTAGCAGTCATGAATTTAGGAGATTCCCGTGCAAGAGAACTGTGATGGTTTGCGCAGGAAAGCAGAGGTTTCTTTTTTAAAAAAAAATGCTGCTTGTTTCAGAGAATCTGTGGGATCAGGGGTTCATCTTCCCTGGAGTGGAGAGCTTACTGGATTGGCTGCTCTGATTGGCCAGCATCTAGGGTTCCCTGACCCCCAGTCTGGGAGGGGGTGCCCTGATTTTCAGGGTTTCTGCTGCTGCCAGCCAGCTGGCCAGTGGGGGAAGCCCCACCCCCAAACAGCGACATCCCCAATACAGTGATTTCACGTGAAAGTGACATATTTGCAGCAGCAATGCTCTGGTTTGGGGGCAAAACGCCATGGATTGAGCCCAATTTTAACCATAGAGTTTGCCCGAAAAGCAAAGTGTCGCCCCTCGACATCGCTGATGCGATGACATCACTTCCATGTGACATTATGATGTTGGGGACATCGCCACCCACTCTCAGACCATCCCCCCCCCCAATCTCCCCCAAGAACAACATCACACTCCCAGATTCAATTCTGGGATAACGTAAACAAAAGATGATTTATTGAACTAAGAACAAAATATGAGGTTGGTTATTCTGTAACTGTTTAGCATAAAGGGACTTGTAAATATGTTGTTCAAATGTATCACACACACTGTCAGTTTTAGTCCTTAACATTCCACCCTTACAGGAATCTCTCACGTAGGCGACCACACAGTTTAATCTCTTGGTAAATTCAGTTTCTTTAAGAACTTTAAAGTTTCACTATATATGCTGCTCTCTCTCAGATCCCACACAGAACTAACTGAACTCTCACTGACTGAACACCAACTGCCCAATTCCAACTGCTTTTTCTAACTGACTTTCATAACTGACTAACTGACGCACACCCACACAGATTCACTTTAAAAACTCCTCCCACACGGTCATCCACCAATCACAGCATATTTCTCTCTCTCAATCACTCTAGTCTGCTTATCACCACACTTCAACCAAACATTTAAAGGCACACACACTCTCATAAAACAAGGAATCATTACAGTCTCCAAGAAAACCAGATGGTGTTTGGAGAGACCTCCATTGATGGGCACAGAATCCAATGAACTCTAGTACAGCTGTGGCACTACAAAATGGCAGGAGTCCTCTGATGCCTGAAAGATAGTTCCTTGTGGCCTGAGTTTTGTACCACCAGAGGTGGGGGGTTTCTGTGCACAGAGGACCAAGCCCCTTCCAGCAACCCCTGGATCACCCATGCTCCCCCACCTGCAGTACACGTACAGCTCTGTGTGCCTGTGGTTGCGCATGTGTGCACACTACAGTTCCATGAGATGGCAGAAGAAGTGCAGGAAATGGTGCTGGATGCAGAATTCAGCTTTCTCAGCATCTCCTCTTTCAATCAGAAGAGGAAAAGATTGTTGATCCCCAGTTAAATAAATAAATTAAATAATGGGAGCTGTCATGATAAACATAAAAGTGTGGGGGGGGGAATGCCTCATTAGATTTCTAGGGTTTCCAACCTCCAGGTGGGGCCTGGAGATCTCCCAGAATTCCAACCAGTCTCCAAACTACAGAGACCAGTTCCCCAGGAGAAAATGGCTGCTGTGGAGGGTGGAATCGGTGGTATCTGTGACACACTGAAGTGCCTTTTCCCCCCCCAGACCCCAGGCTCCCTGAGTCCCATCCCCAAATCTCTCGGCATTTCCCAATTGGGGGGTGGGGGTGGTTTGGGAACCCTAACCGTTTCCGTCCTTGTCACGGTTACAGAAGGTATTCTTTGTACAGCTGGCAGTGTCTTAGAGACTGCAAAGAAGAGAGGCTGCGTGAGAAACCAAGACAGCTGCAGGGGGGAATGGCGTTTTTACTTTGTATAAAGTCCTGAGACTGAGGCACAGGGTAGTGATTTCAGATCATACTTTATTAGTTAAATGGAGAATTTGAGATAACTTGCAGGACCCACGTCCCGCTTATATTCTCGTTCAAACCACACCCAACACACATACACACACTCCCGTGATAGGCTATACACAATACTACTTTCACTCACTGGTTACCTTTAGGATCCGGACTGGCCGATTGCGAGTCCTAGGATCCTCTGTTTCTATTGTTGTCGGAAGCGAAGCTCAGCCGGCCATGTGTGAGCTCAACGGCGTGTGCAGTCTCACTTGGTATACAACACCCCTCCCCCCTAGGTCCAGATCCTCCCCTAGCAAATATAGTCCCCGAGATAAGGGGGCTTCTGCCACTCCCTAGTGGAGCGGCGTACCTCCGGGCCAGGGCCGTGTTCTCAGGTGCTGTTCTTGTCAGTGCTGGGGGAGACACCTCTACCTCTGGGCCCTCTGCAGCAGCGGGTGTGTTGCACGGCTCTTGGTTGCTTGGTGGCTCCGCGGTTACACTGTCATTGCCTTGAGGCAGAGCGCTTGGCCGGGGCCGCGTTGGGGTGGATGCCTCGGGTTCTCCGGGGTCTGGGTTCTCGCCTTCACTGTTGTCCGGGTCTGCGGGGAGGAGACAGTGGCATAGCTGATCTATGTGCCGTCTCAACAGTTGACCATCTTCGCTTGAGACCTCGTAGGAGAGCGGCCCTGTCACCCAGACGACTCTGGCTGGAATCCATGCGGGACCTGGGCGAACACGGGGTCCCCTGGAAAGAACCCTCGTGGGGCCTCCTGATCTTGTGCAGTCTCGCTTGGTATACAACACTTTGCTAGCTAATCCAGATCAAACACAATACAGGCTGAAATTATAAGGAAAACTGGAGACCGTACAATTTGAGATATAGTAGAGATTCCAGATTGTCATGACAAGAACCACTGAAGGAGAAAAAAGGCAGCAATGTTGTCATTCCAGCTCCTACAATCATGCATTAATAAATCAAGCATAAAATTGGGAGTTGAGACAAAATTCTTCCAACTAGTCTTTGTTTTGAAATCTCCCTCTTCATCTTGGTCACTTGGTTATGAACTGCTGTCCTTCCCGGAGACAATTAATTGTGTTAAAATGTGATCTTCCTTTCCAATTGTTTAACAAATAGGAGAGTTGTAACTTGGAGGGAAAGCAGGCACTGTTATGTGGAAACCCTGTTTCGTTCTGGTGTATTCTGTTCTGCCTCAAGAAGCCTTCTGTTCTTTTTGTGTTTGTTTCAATGCAGGTATCATCTCTACGTTTCTTCACGTCCATCCGTTTGGAGCTAATATAGAGTATCTTTGGTCTTATATGCAGCAGTTGGATTCCAGGGTTAGTTGAGTTCCTGTCATTGTATCAAAAGTTGTAATTAAAAGTGTTGTGAAAAATCTGGTTTTAATAAGCTAATAATGGGCCATGGGGTAACCAAAATGCAGTGTTGGAGGAAACCTCTAGGTTTCTGCTCGTGGCTCATTCCTGCGGTGTGCTGCTACTCCCCCTTGTTCTTATTCTCCCACCAACCTCCTCATCCACAAATTGGAATTAGAATCAGCCTTCCGACTTGGCAAGAACTCTGTGGCTTCAGAGCACAATTACTGGAGTAGCTGAGCTAAGAGCCCCTCGTGGCCTCCAGCAGGCAGCCCCCCGTCGGGACCTTTCCTGGTACGTTACAGGGCCAGTCTGCCGCAGCGTCCAGTTTCTACTCTGGTGCCCAAATCCTAAAAGTATTTTGCTGACCCATCTTCGGAGACACACACACACACACGCCCCAGCAGGGGCGACCCGACTGCCCAGTGGTGGACGTGCTGGAACTGACACAAGCCTCCCTGCCTTCTCCATCACCCCAGGCGGCTCCTAAGTCTCGAGAGGTCCCTGTGACCGTAGAGGCAAGAGAGCATAAAGCTGGACAGCTTAACTATGTTTTTAAAAGGTACCCAGAGGGAAATCTCAACTCACCGCATGCAGAGGATTCCTGGTCCCCAGTGGCCCATGAGGGCCTCCCCAGCTCTCAAGGCAGGGGCCTCATTTGTCCAGCTGGCCATTCGGAACTGAATGCAGAATACTTCCCCACACGTTATTTGTTGCTGTGTGGTGGAGGCTGCTGGAATCGACAACCTCCTTCCACCACAGGTCAGCATCCCATCTCACCAGCAGCTGGCCCTGCCTTTACAGCACTCTCCCCTGTCCAAAGGAGCCCTGGTCTCTTTAGGACTCCCAACATTGTGCCTGGAGCTTGCTCACCGAACCACCCCACCCCACCCCTGGGGTGCCTGCTCTCTTGCCCTCCTGAAGGCCCATCTTTTCTGTGTCGCCCAGCCCGAGTGGATCTTGGTGCCACTGAAACAAACAACTGTGCCCACATTTATCTCCTGCTGCTTCTGTCTCCATCCTTCTCTTCCTTCTGTGGTCTCTCTCCATCCCCCAAAGAGATTAGACACCGAGAGGGCCTTGGTAAAATGTCAGAGCCCAGTCAAGGGCTGGGCCCCCCACATTCAGTGTGTTGGCAACTGAGTTCACAAAAAAGTCTTTTGCTGTGTTTGTCTTTTGCCTCCTTTCCTAGATCTCTGCAAACGAAATAGAAATGCTTTTGATAAGGCTCCCACGCATGTTTAAGCAAGAGTTCACTGGGGTAGGAGCAACGCTGGAGAAGAGGTGGAAGTTCTGTGCCTTCGAAGGAATCAAAACGACTTGACCCCAGACAGGAATGGAGCTGTGCGGGGAAAAGACTTCGTGGGACCGGGCAGAGCAGGGGCCAGCCGAGGACGCCTGGAAGCGAGGGAGCTCGGACTGGCCTCCCTCTTTCCAGTATGCTTCAGGCCTGGTTTTAGTTGCATTTGTGATGTCCTCTTGTGAAAACGTAGTCGTGTGCTGGTTTCCAAAAAGAAAAAGAAATCTTCTACAATGTGACAGGTTTGTTTCCTATGAAAACTCAAGGAAGGAACGACAATGATGTTGTTATTTTTACAAAATATGCTCCATCTAAGATTAGCTCACTGAGCAAGCCGGAAGAGTTCCCAGTTGCTAAGCTCCAGCAGTGTAGGTGTCCTACGTAGTAGATTTTCCTCAGGTTCCGTTCCTGAGAGTCCTTCCATTTAGGGTTGTTTTTTTTTAAGGTGATTTAACAGTGAGAGAAAATATACCAAAAGCCAACTTGAAGATGTGTCTGAACAGTTATTGTATTTTGTAAATTAAGTTATCTGCTGTACCAGGGACTTTTTTGCCTTATTGCTAGAGGTCTGAAAACATGTGAATGGATTCTTTGAGAATGCTTTATCCAGAATATTATTTTTCTAATGTAACTATTCTCCATTCTAAGTTCATTTAACATGCATACCGATTTTCATAAACATGTAAATAGCCAGTGTTACTGTATTGTATTTGGTAGGTAACATTCAGGGTTACGCATCCCAGAACAAATACCCAGTTGCATTACTGTTACGGATTTTATAGCAAATATATTGATTTTTTTCAATAAATGGGACTTCTACCATATTGTGGTTTTAACAAGTTATTCTTTGATTCCTAAACTGGTATGTCCCTCTGTCCTCCTGTGGGCTGTCAAAGCCGAGAGAGAGAGAGAGAGAGAGAGAGAGAGAGAGAGAGAGAGAGAGAGAGAGAGAGAGCACAGGCGCGCACACACACACCCCAGGAGGGCCCGGGCTGATGGCTGTCACAGAAGAACCATCAGGTCAGCCGGGATCCAAGGACTTAAAACTATTAACACAGCAGTTGCCAGGCAACGGATCATCTGGTTTGCCAGAATGAACACATGTCATAAATGGTTATAAACCAGATTTGAATTTCTTTCTTAAAAAATTGCGTTATAAACTCCACATTTTGACATGTTATGCAGGGCACTGAAAAGACTGTCAAATCCCTTGTCCCTCTATTCTTCCACTGAGAGTAGACTAAGGAGTAATGAGTGCTGTGGGTTTCTAAAATACTAGTAAGGAAAGCCCGTCGTGGCGGTAGACAACGGGCCCTAGATAGGAAGGAAGGGCGAGTGGAAGGGAGGAATGGAGAAGAGGAGGTAGAGAGAGAGAGACAGAGTTAGAGAGGGGTAATCAGCGATTTTTGAAGCAACTTTTATAGTGCAAAGTATTTGAAAGGGTCAGCCTTAAAAACGGGTATAAAGACTGTGGCCTGGATCCAGCAAAGCACACGTGACCTTCGGGTAGTTTGTGCAGCACCCTCCTTGTGTCTTGTCGTGACCAAAAACTGCCTGTGCACAAGCAGAAGAACAGTTTGGGACACCCTGTGCTGAATGTAGCCCACTCAAGAGGTCAGCACAAGGTACGTCCGTGTCTCTGTGCTCTGGAAGTCACCTTGGGGGAAAGTGCCTGGATTCTACCTGAGAAGAAGAGGAGTCTCTCTGGGCGTGCTTTTCTCTCTAATGTTCTGTCTCTGTATTGTAGACTTGAAAAAACAACAGGATCTGAAGTCTGCCCACCCGCCCATTTGTCATTTATTTTTCCCTCCGGGATCATGGCAGAAGGGCTCTCAGACTTCTTCCCCCTATGAATCTCTGTGGGTTGGGTTTCCTGGTTGGCTGGCATTGTCTTTTTGACTCATAGGGGAAGAAGCATGGCCCGCACTTCTGAATCGGGCTGCCCATTCTGGCGTGGGGAAATTCCTGGGGAGATTTGGGGGCGGAGCCTGGGGTGGTGGGGTTGGGGGAGGGACCTCAGCAGGGGTGCGAGCCCACCCACCAAGGCAGCTTTTTCTCCGGGGAAATGGATTTCTCTCTTTGGAGACCAGTTGTAATTCCTGAAGATCTCCACACCCCACCTGAAGATGGGCAACCCTGTCTCTGAATGAGCTTCATTTGCCCTTAGTTGTGCCAACAGATTCCCAGATCTGAGCAAGGTATGTAGCTGTACCACGTTCAGTACATGATCCCTGATTTTCTGGGATCAATTAAGAAGAAGAAGAGAAGAGATTGGATTTATATCCCGCCTTTCACTACCTGAAGGATTCTCAGAGTGGTTTACAATCTACTTTCCTTTCCCCTCCCCACAACAGACAGCCTGTGAGGTCGGTGGGACTGAGAGAGCTCTTTCAAGAACTGCCCTTGAGAGAATAGCTCTGAGAGGACTTGTGACTGACCCAAGGTCACCCCAGCAGCTGCATGTGGAGGAGTGGGGAATCAGACCCGGTTCTTCCAGATTAGAATCCGCGCTCCTCACCACGACACCGAACTGGCTCTAAGAATAGATGACACAGACGTGAAAGCGGCAAGCAAAACAAGAAGAAAGTGATTACAGGTGGTGGCATGCAGCCCTAAAGAAGTTCCAGACTATAGGAGCTTTCCCCCAAATTATTGCTGTTGAGCTGAACAGAAAACTTAGAGAATATTTGGCTTCTCCACCTAGCATCTAGAGAGACTGGTGCCATTTACTCAGAGCTGTATAGTAAGAATGAAAGTGCTGAAAGGGTACAAAAAGGCCTAATAACATAGATTTGTTATTGAAAAGAAAGGGTTGCAGAGCTGGTAGCTAAAAAGAGCGAGAGAAATTTGTTCTTGTTTTTAATTTATTTTTGTGTGTGTGAACCTGGAAGTCATGGTTGACTCTGGTGACCCATGGAGGGGCTTGGACATTTCAGAGAGGCAGCTTATTGTTGCCTGCCTCCTCATCCCAGACCTGGTATTCCTTGGAGGTCTCCCTTCCAAGTCCTTGCCAGGGTCGGCCCTGCTCAGCTTCTGAGAGATCTGACGAGATTGGGCTTGCCTGCGCTGTCCAGGTCAGGGCAGAAATGTGTTCTCTTGGGAATATCTTGAGTAGGCAAGCAGTCTCAATTGACATCTAAAGCACATTTCCAGGTCTGGGTGCATTATGGCAAAAGATCCCTGCACAGCGGGAAATGGAGTTGTGTTCACCAACGAGGCCCACTCCAGAAAGACATCACATGCCAAAAGAAGCGGTTTGTCTCTCACCACACTCTTGTCTCAACAAGATTTGTTTATTGAGGAGTGGAAATGCTCCATGCATGGACAAAGTCTGTGTAAGAACTGACACCCAAGTGCCAGATCTGACCCTATACTATATGCAAGACATTCCCCCTAAGTCAAAACTACCCAAAACCGCCAAAGATCCAAACCTGCCCCCTCCCACACCTGCCACTAGCCATTGCATTATCTAGACAGTCCCTGCATCCAAGGTCATGGTGGATGCTGAGATCATACATTTCCCAAGTCCTTGTAGACTACTCCAAGCTGGTACTAGGGAAGCGTAAGCAGACATTCACACACGCACACGCACACACACCCTTTCTAGCAAGGAAGATAAACAGCCTGTAGACGAAAACAGTGGACTGATGTTCTTCTGAGAAAGCAATTAACCCCTTAGGCCACAGAGCCTGAGTGTCATTAGATAACATTATATGACAAGCAAGACTCAAGCTTGACATTCTGACACACACACCCGCGCGCAAGGCCTCTCCTCCGCCTCCAGGTTTGTGAGGATGCTTCTTGTGAAAGGCCCAAATCAATTGTTTAGCTTTCACATGATCTTCCAAAACCCATTCATTATGTTTAGGGTTGAAATCTCGCCATTTGATTAAATAATACAGTTGGCCTCGCTTGATCTTAGAGTCCAAGATTTCTTCCACCACCTGGTGGAGCTCTCCATTCACTGTCAGGGGAGGTGGAGCTGGAAGCCGAGGTCTCCACTTTGATGGCCCAGGATCCTTCTTCAGCAAACTAAAGGGGAAAACAGGATGGATGTGACATAAGTTCTTGGGCAAGTCCAACTCCACAGCCACTTTATCAACGACACACACAACTTTAAAAGGTCCCACATATTTCCATCCCAGCTTTTTACTGGGCTGTAAGCCCTTGACGTTTTTAGTGGACACATACACAGAATCTCCTGGATGCAGGTCCCACTCTGGCACCCTGCTTTTGTCAGCTTGGCCTTTGTGATCCTCTTTTGCCTTGACCAAAGTTTTTTTGAATGGAGGTCCATTGGTTTTTTTTAAAGGTTTTATTTATAAGTTTTCAAGTTAACATACAAAAGAAAAATATTCTAATCTTGTACAACTTTGGAGTCATATAGCGTAATTATTGCCTATTACTGTGATTGTTATCTATCCAGGTATAAAATTTCTTCCATCTACATTTAAACAACGCTTCATCTCTACCCTGTAAGATTGTAGTTAGCTTGTCCATTTCTACCACATCTAATACTTTGTAAATTAATTCTTTTCTAGAGGGTATTCCCTCTTGTTTCCAATACTTGGCAAACAGTATGCGTGCTGCATATAGTAACATATCTCTCCTCTATTCGATATTTATCAGGCAGCATATTCAACAAAAACCGTTCTGGAGAAAAGGGTATATCTATCTCTAGAATTGCTGGAATGAATTTATGTACCAGCGGAAGGCAATGGGAGGCAGCTCAGAGCGTCGGCATGGCCCATCGCTTTGCCAGGGCGGTGGATGAGCTCGTATTGGTACCCCGCCAGGAAGATGGACCAGTGCAGCACCCTAGGGGACAGCATCTGCGGGGTGTGGTGGTCCGGGGTGACCAGGCCCAAGAGAGGTTTGTGGTCAGTCACCACCATAAATGCCCGGCCATAGAGATAGTTGTGAATTTTTTTCACACCGGCTACGATCGCTAGGGCCTCTTTATCAATTTGGGTGTAATTGTGTTCTGCTGCCAATAAGTTGCAAGAGGAATAGGCGATGGTGAC